TTCATACGAACAAACGTATGTTACGTGTTGTGTGAAAGTAATGATTCAGTACTGTCATAGTCAAGCTGTTTTAACCAAGAAGTAACCAATTTTTTACACTCAAAGTAATGTTTGCCGTAAACCTTGAGTTTCCCATTTAATTTATTATACAATAAGTGAGATTGTGAATTAAAATTTGTACGAGCAAATTTTGTTTTAACAGTGGGATAAGAAACGACAGAATAGGGATTACGCTTACTTAAGATTTTTGGATCTAGGATAATAGTTTTGTGAATTTTAAGAATACATTTTAATATGTAAAGTTGCCTAACAGTTAAAACATTGCAGTCCCGATATAGTTCAGAAGTCCCCGATGTAATTTTCCTGAATGTCATAACTTTAAGGAGTGAGCGTTGAGCCCTCTCAATTTTAATCATTTTGGTTTTGTGGGTACCACCCCATATTGGCAAGCAATATAGTATGATGGATTGTACCAGAGCAGTATAAATGTAAGTAATAAGTTGTTTGTCGGCGACATGTCTTATGTATTTAAACAACCACAATAGCTTTCTGACTCTGTGGGTGCAAGTGTCAATTTGTTTATGCCAATTTAGTTGCTGGTCGAGATATATCCCTAAGTATTTTGTGAAACTAACCTTTTGCAGGGTCTGGCAGTTACATTTAGGCACTCTGTAAGGGTTTTCACAGGAATGGGCGATTAGATGAAGATTATTATTGGGTTGCGTGGAATTTTTGATTGCAAATGTTATATAGTTTGTTTTACTAATATTTAAGGAAAGGAGATTTGAATGAATGAAATGAAATTGAATGATGAGAAGACACAAGTTTGTCACCCCAGTGCCAGCTGCCACCTAGAGGATGGTGGAGGAGCGACGACCGAGTTTTATCGGCTCGATTCACTGGCTCTGAGAAGTTAAATCATTGACATTTTTGCGGCCGAACCTGCGCATTTTACAAGGCGCAGGTTCGGCCGCACATGGAATACTGTTCCCATCTCTGGGCTGAGGCTCCCCAGTACCAGCTCCTTCCACTTGACCGCATCCAGCGCAAAGCGGCTCGAATCGTTGACGACCGAGTGCTTTCCGATCGGCTCGATTCACTGGCACTGCGAAGAGATGTTGCATCTCTTTGCATTTTATTTCGCATATACCATGAAGAGTGCTCTGAGGAATTGTTCGGATTAATCCCAGCCGCCAAATTTCATGAACACACTACGCGGCAAACGTCCCGATACCATCTACACCATCTGGATGCTTGGCGGTCCACCACAGTACGTTTCAAAAGGAGTTTTCTTCCGCGTACAACCTCTCTGTGGAATAGTTTACCACCGGCGATTTTTCCGGACCGATACGACCTGGGGACCTTCAAGAAAAGAGCTTACTCCTTTCTAAAGGGCCGGCAACGCACCTGCAATGCCCCTGGTGTTGCGGTTGATCATGGGCGGCGGTAGTCACTTAACATCAGGTGAGCCGCATGCTCGTTTGCCCCCTCTTCTATAAAAAAAATAAATTATATCGCATTTAATGATTTCTTATATTTACGCGAACACTACACATTGAAATAATACTAGTTTTTACGGAATTTATCGCGTATATTTTATCTTTTTTAAATACCCGAACGTCGGGTATTTAAAAAGTTAAAATATACGCGATAAATTCCGTAAAAACTAATATTATATCGCATTTATCAAGGGAAATGCTCAAAGGAATTGTTGAATTAATTCCAGCCGCCAAATTCTACTATCGCACATCACGACAATATTTGCGATACAGTCGGGATGATTGGCAATCTACCACTATTCGATCTCCCGAAGTTTTCTTCTTCTTACGACTTCTATGTGGAATCAGCTTGCACCAGCGATTTGACCAGAAAAGAGTAGTAAGATAAAAAAGAGTAAAAAGTAAGATGAAGAGATAAATACCGTGATTGTATGTAATGAATATTATATACCATATTGGGAAATTTGTGTATTTCCCAATATGGTATATATTTAAGTACTTTATAACTATATATGTCTGTTATAAATTTAAGAACTTTATTAAACCTGTGACAATGTCACATTCATGACCATTGGCGCCAACCAATTAAACGAGTCGGTCGATTTACTCTAACAACATGACATCACTGGTTAAATAGTTTACTTCGTACTTATCTGTTTATACCGATTGAACAAATATGTCCTAAAATAGTATATTCCGTTTGTGTGTTATTTACTTTCTATAACATACAAAGTTTATTCTTATCACTTATGACAGAAGTCCTTTTAGATTATTTAACACATGATTGTGGAATAATTTCATGTTCTTTAACTTTCGTTAGTAAAAATATGTATATACTTATATGCCTACATTTTCTAAGAACGTTTTTGGAGCAATTATAGTCGGCTGCCTCAATTCGTGTAGGCGATCTACAATGTGAAGTAAATACATTTCGTTAGTAACTGTGTAAAATTATCTGTGACATAACTTTAACATATTATTTACTAAAAAAAAAGCTGAAATTTTTGTATACAATTATTAATAAAGCTACTTTTCTAAATCTCGTTTAATAAAAACTTTAAAACATGGTGTTGAAAACCGGTTCCAAAGTTCGTTATGGTTCTTCACCTTGCCTTGGTTAAAATAAAAGTTTTACTTTTCCGCACGGTTCTGGTCCTAGATCCATTGACAGATTTATTGTCATGTGTAAACTTTTCACTTACTTATTTATAATAGCGCCGGGGAAACTTACCATCAACATAATATTGTGTATGAAATTTATTTTGTTTCGTTAGTGGTAAACAATTTAATTTTCTGAGTAACTAGAAAAAATCACTGTTTTGGTTTTTTGGTTACTTCCAGTTTAAAATGGGCATAACGAGAAAAAAGTCTCCGGCTCTCGTCAAATTTTTTGAAATATTCTACTAATTTAAGTTGGTATCACATGCGAGAGTGATCCCTCCACAGTTAAGCCGGCACATTGTAGAGCCATAGTACCGTAGTACATAGACAGCAATGTATTGAGATAGCAACAGTCGTTGAATTCAGACAGTGTACTTTCCGGTCAAAGTATCCTGTCAACCCATGTGGAGTTCCACAGGGCAGTATCTTGGGGCCCCTGTTGTTTTTGATATTTATTAACGACTTACCAAATGCAACTCAACATAAATGTTACATGTTTGCAGATGACACTACAGTGGTAATAAAATGTGACGAAATAGAAAAATCCAATGTCGTTATTAATGACACTTTACACAACCTAATCAATTGGCTACATTCAAACAATCTCAAAATAAACATACAAAAAACAAAGGGAATCCAGTTTACTACTTACAGAGAAGGTCAATGGATGTGCTAGTTGATTATTGCGGTAATATTGTTGAAATTGTTAATGAAGCTAAATTTCTTGGATTTACTTTAGATAAACACGGTGACTGGAAAGCACATATAGACAATCTATGTACGAAAATAAATAAATTTGTACACACTACGACGACTCAGTAATGTATCATCCATTGAAACTGCTCTATCGGCCTACCATGGCTATGTGTCATCACTATTAAGTTACGGCATTATATTGTGGGGAGGTTCAGCGGATGTAAACCGGGCTTTCATAGCCCAAAAGAAATGTATTAGGGCTATTTGCAGAGTACAGTTTCTTGAAAGCTGTAAACCCCTTTTCAATAAACTTTGAATCCTACCGCTAACGTGCTTGTATATAAAACAAAATGTGTATTTTTGTACGACAACATTCTAATTATTTTGTCACTAGAGAGCAAAACAAAAATAAACCTACCAGACATCGAGAAAGGATCATGCAACCTAGAATAAGACTTCAACTATACAGACGAAGCTGTTATTGTATGGCTATTAAAATTTATAATAAGCTTCATCCAAGTTTCAAAGCTCTGCCGTTACCATTGTTTAAAAGAAAGTTACATTCCTGGCTTTTCACTAGGTGCTTTTATTCAGTCCAAGAATACTTAGATGACCAAGACTTGAATAATTTGACATATTATAATATTATACAATTTATAAATTATGACATGTAATGTTCTGTGTGTGACTCATGTTTACCATTAGTTTTCCGTTTAGTCTATTAACTTATTTTTAGCTCTAAGTAGACTAAAATGTAACTACTTTTAAATTTGCATGACAATTATAAGTCAAACACGACGACGTAACGAAACGACATACCATTATGTTAACATCTTTGCACTACCATGTTTAAAGCAAATAAAAAATTCTAATTCTGATACGTACTGCTGCTACTGCTGCTACTACAGCTGCAGCATGGCTCTACCACGTAATATCGATACCCCATAATGTCTTCCTGACCGAATTTCGCTCACGGAAGCTTGTTACATCGGAACCTAGCACAGGACAGCATTATAGTGACGAAGTTAATGGGCCAGCGTAAGACAGCATCGGATTATGACAAGCACTCTCTGTCATAGTCCAATGGGAGGGTAAACCCACACGAACCGAAGAGAGATCGAATGTAGGACCATCGGCTTTGGGGTTTTTCCAATGTATGGGGGTAAAACATCGCTAACTCCGTAATATGCTACTGAGAATGTTTTGCCAGAAAAACCCATTAACCAATTTTGTTCCGAGCCGGGATTCGAATCAGCGATCGCGCTTACGATAACTCAACCAACAAGACGATCATACCATATTTCATACGACATAATATTTCCATAAATCTTATCATCCACTAGGCATTACAATATAGAAACAAAACATATTTTTCACATTTTACTATATTCAATTTCAGACGCCCTTCTCGCCGACCTACAAAACTCCATAAACCCAGGGCGAGTATCAAGTCCTATTGGAAGAACAGGGTCTCCCGGTGCAAGAACCACATCCCCAGGCAGGACTGCCTCGCCTATCGGCAGGGGTAGTTCCCCGGGTCGCCTCAGCTCTCCCGGCGGCAGTCTCAGTTCACCCACATCAACTGGCTACGGTTCCATCAACGGCACCAAAAATATCTCATCGGATTATTACAAACCAAGCTCCGTAAGTGTTTCCTTCATCTTTTGAAAACACGTGTGATAGGGGAATAAACCTAATGGAATATATATTTGTGGAGGGAATATATGTATATGTCGTAGAATAATTAGATAAACTAAATTTTAGCGGAAAAATATAGGAATATCGCGAAAACACGGATAATTAGACTGTTTCTCAATATTACTGAAAAAAGATTGGGTTTTTTGCAACTTTGAATATACTTAACTCTGATTAGCTTGATTTTGGTTTATAGGCGTATAGTTTATGAGCTATGATATGTTTTGTAAAATTATAACCTCACTTTTTATACAGGAATATTGACCCAAAGTTACTTCTGTAATAGCTTCTGCGCTGCGGGAAGTGCAGCCCCTTCGCCCTTGCGTACCAAATTGCTGGTGCGAGCCGTAGCGGCTGAGGCAGGTCCAATAAGCCGAAATAAGGCGGGCGGGAGCTTTTCTCCCTCCGCGCCTACGGCTTTACAAAAACACTCTAGGGGTAGGACAGACAAGACTACGTGGAGTCGGGGCGTGCTGCACTATTGTCTGATATAAATATTATGCCGATACGATTTTTTTATTTTCATTTTATTATTATCCGTAAAATACATAAATCTCGAAAGATGAATGCATTATACATTTAAGAAACAATAATGAACCCGTAGTGTTTTGCTATGCACATTACTAAAAATGGAAAGGATTTATGTTAAATTTAAACAAGCTATCCGGCCCGGCTTCGCACGAGTGATTACTGGTTCTCGACAGCAGCATCACCGGGTCCAGTTGTGAATCTAAACCATCCAGGGATCTTCCAAACATAAAATAGTTCATCAAAATCTTTTCCCGCCATTTTCGAGTTTTAACGAGACTAACGGAGAGCAATTGATTTTTATATATCATAGAGATGAATTATGAATAGAAACAATTTCATTTCTTTGAGTAGAAAGAAAAAAACACAGTTGCCAGGCAACAACGTAAACCAAAAATCCTATACCTTTAAACGAGCAATTCTTGTATATATATATATCGGCTCCAACGATTTTCATAAAATTTTGTGTGCAGGGAGTTTCGGCGGCAATAAATCGATCCAGCTAGGAGCTAGGATTTATTTTTAGAAAATGTCTTTTTGTCCGTGTTTTTAGGCAATGAAAAACTCCTACAATATCGTTAGAATAAGAAGGTGAATTTTGACAGATTATTAATGATTACAAATAGCTTAATTGGTATACTGGGCGGTCACAAAATCGTAATACCATGGTTCGAGCCCAGACCGACCGACCGACTTTTTTTAAGTTTCTTTCTTTTTTGAGAAAATCTATTTTTTGAGCCCTTTTTTTTAGTATTTTTTAAAAACACGAAAATTTAAATTAAACTAATTGCACTCATGATTTTTTATACAAATAACCAGTTCAGTTTTTTCTATTATGTCGCTAAAATCAAAAAATATTATTCGTATTTCATCAGTATGTAATTTGTATCTAAATATAATTTCCAAAACACCCGAATTAAAAAAAAACCGAGCGAAAAATACCGGTCAACCGGTACTTTTAGATAAAAAACACACTTTATATTCTATTATCAAATTCAAAAGTCAAAATCATTGTTTTCTACTTACCACTTCTAGAAAGAACCAAGCTTAACCAAATCCACCTCTTATAGCCGAAATGCTAAATGAAATATATCAAAATCATAATTTCATCATAATCAACTTCTAAACAATTTTAATTATAATTAAAATCACATCCGTGAAATGGTTACGATGTACTCTTAAAACGCGAAGATTGTAATATTTGCCTTAAGAGATTGCCTTTAGCTTTACCTCAGTCAAGAGCGTACCACTTCCGACAACCTTGCGTAGTCTTGGGAGTACGCTTACCACTAATTTGAAGACACTGGTCTAAATAATACTTTTTAGGAAAATTTTATTTTGCATATTTAATTCATGAAGCTAAAACACGACAAACATCCAGAAAAACTTTCTATTCCCTATTTGTGTGATACATATGTTGATTGTTATGTGTCATATAAGTGTCTGTAATACCTACTCTAAATTCATCACCAGTTTTCGGTCTATATAATTAGAAAAAAACATAGTATATGAAAACTAACAGAATTAAACATTATTTACATTATTTTAATTTTTAACTGGATGTTTAACGTTTTAAACGTTAAACATCTAATGATTTCTTAAATTTACGCGAACACTACACATTGAATAAAACTATTATTTACGGATTTTATCGCGTTTAATTACTTTAATTTATTTTTATTATTATCCCGACGTTTCGGGTGCAGTCTGCGAACATGTTCAAGATCGTCCCCACCATTACATTAGATTTGATAAACCACAAATTCTCGAAAAGAACACCGATTCCTACCAAGGATGATACGCGAGGCTATTGAAATTAAAAAACATCCAAATTTCAATAGAGAAGATGGTTGGGTGCTACCATCTGCTTGGGATCCTATAATTAACAAAATTGAACCCAAACCCAAGCATACCACTGCAAGACTTCATGATACTATAAGCTCGTTTTGCGTAAATCGGACCAAAAATTAATATTAAAAAACTGAAGGTCCCCCCCGTGACCATGGGCGCTGTAAAGCACCCGAAACGTCGGGATAATAATAAAAATAAATTAAAGTAATTAAACGCGATAAAATCCGTAAATAATAGTTTTATTCAATGTTAAACATTTAGTTAAAAATAACTCTATTTTAAGGTTACCATTACAGCCTATACTGCTGAACATAGGCCTCCCCCAAAGATTGCCTCGTAGGGGGGATATTTGCCATAATTGCCACCATAGAAATATTTTATGTCTATGATTGCCACCCTTGACAAAAACGGGTTGGCAACGCAATTTATTATTTTTAGTCGTTATTAGAAAGGCGCTGCTGTCAATCTCCTGATTAGTTTTCATCTGTCGCCTCTTACGACATCCACGAGATAATGTGTGGTAGTGGGATATTCTCACACCACCACTCCTCTGTAACTTTACTACTCGCTAAAATTACTCCTAAAACTTATAGGTAACAAAGCATACTATTTCCGTATATCGAACACATTTCTATCACTTCCTTTTGTTTTCTTCTGCAATCTACTTCATTGCTTGAAATTTTCATAAATTCATTGAATGGAATAGTTTCAACAATTTTATAAAATTGAAAAAGTTCATAACAACCGTTTTGGAAAACTCTTATCTCGTGACGAAGCCGCCAGAAACTCAGCGGAAATTCAGAATTCGAAAGTTCTTATTTAAAACCAAGAAGAAGTCGGCAACAAGTCATCGGTTACGCATACGTAGTATACGGACATTGTTTGAATAGTCCTTTTGTCTTTGATGCGTGATTTAGTGGCAAATGCTTCCACCGCATTTTGTTCTTGAATTGAATCTTAATAAGATTGTGTAACAAAGGGGCGTTATGTTCACAAATCACAATTGATTTTATTATTATTAGAAGCCAAATCTGTGAGTTCATTTATTTTCATCCATTCGTCTATTATAGCATATAAAGTCCATTGCCCATATATTGCCTCACAGGAGAATTTTTGCCATAGTTACGTCCATAGTTACGTACAGAAATCTAAATAATAAGGTATTTAGATTTCTTTGGTTGCGACAAGGTTGCGACACTCGGCAAGTGATTTGGCAACCGGAGCTTTTTTATTATTTAGATTTTTTTTTAGAAAGATGCTGTTATCCATCTCCTAGTTAATTTTTTTTTCTAGAAGAGGGGCAAACAATCATGCGGCTCACCTCATGGTAAGTGACTACCGCCGCCCATGATCAACCGCAACACCAGGGGATTGCAGGTGCGTTGCCGGCCTTTTAGAAAGGAGTAGGCTCTTTTCTTGGAGGTCCCTAAAATCGCCGGTGGTAAACAATTCCACAGAGAAATTCTTTCCCTCTGTCGCCTTTTACGAACCCCACGGAACGCTATAGGGTAGGAGATATTCTTACACCGCCACTACTCGGTGGCGGTTCATTTATTCATTATAAGTTAAAGCATAAATTTGAAAATACAGTAAAATCAATTATTAAGTTATTATCTGAGAGACCTTTATATAAATAAATAAATAAAGTTTATACTAACACTTCGAAATCGGTTAAATGGCTGCATAAGACAAATCATACATACATAAACGTACATAATCACTCACGCCTGTCACCCAGAGGGGTAGGCAGAGACAGTCTTCCATTCGGCACGATCCTGACACGCCTCTTTCGCCTCCTTCACGTCCATATGCCTACGCATACATGCTCGTCGGTTAAGGGTACTCCTAATTTGGCCCGTTTTCAATAAATCGTTAATTTGGTCGATTAAAACAAATCATTTTTCCCATTTTAAACTATGGATGTCATTTCTGATAGTCAGCTCGTGGAATTTTTCTTGATCTCTGCAGAATCCTCGAGCGTAGCGTATTAGGGATTACATTTAAATAAAAGGGCACTGGTACCGATTGATTCAAAAATAATTAACATATATTCATGTTATGTCTATTCATCTGTGCATGATGTTTTTTTTTACAGATCTATATTATCATCTTAAATTAATCTAATGACATAAAATACACAAACAATGTAACCATTTTGACTTTTTTGTAATATTAGGGTGATAAGCTAACGTTCACATTATGATTAGTGGCTACCGCAGCCCGTGGACACCTAAAACCAACCGAATACAAACAATGTACGCCACAACATATTATGTTGTCGTTTCTGTTATTTCCCATTCATTTCTGGTACTTACCCACGAGACAAAAAGTATTCTTAAGTCGCCGCCACCACACGGCCAGAAAAACGTAGTGGCTATGACAATTCCCACTTCTACTATTCCATTCCATTTCTCTTACAGTTCTTACAATCTCTTGGTCCAAGATGTCTCATGGTCTGTTATTTTACTTTACTATCTCTACTTGTGTTAAATCTATTTTTTTTCCGTATGAGGTTTAATACTTTTATAAAAAATACATTATACGGTTTTGTTTTAAATATACTTATGCGT